CTCTGGCAGATGAGATCCTGCAGCTGCTGGAGTCCAGGAAAAGGGACAAAGAAGCTCAGGCCTTCGTTAAGCTCCGCAAGCAACGAGCCAAGCAGTCCAAGGAGACAGAGTGAGGGAGGGGCAGGAAGATGGCCCTGAAAGGGGAACTTTGGTGGTGTTGGAGCCAGAAGCATCTGCAAGGAGTGTGGGGACAGAGGGGTCCCTGTGCCTGCCCAGCGCAGCTCCCAGCACCCAGCTCACCCCAACCTTCGGGCAGCAGCGCTCCATGAGCCAGGGATGGTGGGCAGCTGCATTGGAGGGGATTTCTTTGCCTGCCTGCCTGGACTAGTAACACTACACGAGGGATGTGGAAGTGTGGCTGTCCCTATCCGTCCCTCTGGAGTTTGTCACTGCCAGTGCTGCATCTCCTGGCCGTGTCCCCAACCCTCCTGTCAGCAGCACAACTGATTCAGGCTGGGGACAGCCATGGCCAAACCTGCCTTCATTTTTGGTTTTTCTTTAAATTTTTAAATTTTTTTCCCCCTCATTTTCTTGTGGATAAGCCTCTTATTTTAAATGAAAAGCCACAAAGCTGCTGCGTGGGCTGTGTGCTTTGAGGCAGTGGCCCTGTGCTGGCAGCAGCAGCACAGTGGGGTGGGACAAGGGCATTTGAGGTCTGGTGGGAGCTGCTGAATTTCTCCTTTTTTAAAATGTGTATGGCTCTTGTGTCTCTTTGGGTTTTTTTTTTAATTTTACCACCAATTTCACTGACCTCCTGGAAGCCTGGGATCTTGCTGGCAATAAAGAGCATCACAGCTCTGGCAGCCAAACCAGGAGGCATTTTGGGCAGCTGACAGCCCAGGCATGGGGTGCAGGTCCCTGGCATCACTCCCAGCCTGTGCCAGGGATCTGGGTCCCTCTGGAAGTGGTGGGAAACTCTGCAGGGTGCATCCATGTGGGGTGCCCCAGTATTACAGTAAAAATGCCAGACAAGGCAGGTGGTTTTAACAATTTGTTGGGTATTTTGGAGCTTGTTTTCTCTGCAATTATTACTAATTATACACCTGGAGCTCCCTCTACCCCCACCCTGCACGGGGGTGGCCATGTTTGAGCCGCAGCAGGTCCCTGGGAGCTGCCAGGGACAGGGAATTAAAAGCATCCCCCTCCCGGGTGCCTGAGCACCAGCTGCTCCCTGGTGGGCAGAGCAGCCTCTGGGTCAGCTCAGGTCAAATCCTGGATGTGGGGGTGGGAAAAGAAAAAAGCTCCTTTGGTATCTGTGTGACAGAGCCCACAGCAGGAGGGATTAAGGCACTGCGGGCTCTCAAGGAAGCCATTTGCTGGCTTAGGTTTTAGTGCAGAGAAATAATATTCCAGAGCTGGGTCTGGGATTGTGGGGATGCTGTCTTGGGGTGTCATTCAGCTGGGTCCAGCACCCTGTGCCTGCACCCTGCAGCTCATCTGGGGCTGGCACCTGCTGGTAGCCACCTCATGCTTTATTGTGAGGTTTACTCCATGAGGCTGGAGGTTTGAATATGGTCTGGACTAATTTTTGGCTATTTTTAAAAAAATCACTGTGTCCTACCTTGCCCTGGGCAGCCACCAGCCAGGTGTGTCCCAGGGAGCAGGTGGCACAGGCTGACCTCTCTTCTGAGGTTGTTTGCACTGTATTATTCAAAGTGTTTTAGCTGAATTTTTGCTCAGCTACAGGCAGTGGTGTGGGTCTTCTCCCACCCCAAAAGAAGTCCCACCTTTTACAGAGAAAGACTAATAAACCTTAATCAGTCAGAGCACAACTAACCCCATGGAGCAGGAGAACAGCCCAAACATTTAAAAATAAGGCTTGAAGCACACAAAACCAGCTCCTAGCAAATGCAAGCATGACAAAGAGGAAGAAGTCTCCATCACCATCCTCCTAATCCTGGTGAAGAACCCGACACAGGCGGATGGCCAGAACACAAGAGGGAAGGGCTGGCACTTAGAGCTACTGATTTTATTGTGTTACCAATAATCTGCAATACAAATGGGCCCATTCAGATTATTGTTGTGATTGGACTGATGGGAAGTGGTTGAAGCATCTTTGAAGCATTAATTAGACCAAATTAATTAACAGATAATTCTTGGATCCACAGCCAGGTGTGTTCTTCTGGGTGCCAACACACAAAACACTGCATCCACTGTGCAGGCTCACCTCTGCCCAGCCTGGCTCTTCCAGGGCATAAATCCATGTCCAGACCAAGAATTTGGGTGAGCAATTTTTGGATTTGTCATTTCCAAAGAGGTCTCTGCCCCACCTTAACCACATTGCATTGATGTTTCCCCTCTTTCACCACACCTCCATCAGGAAAATGAATTGCAACACCCCAAAACGGGAGAGGAGCTCAGAGAGAAATTATTCTCAGTTGTGTGAAAATTGGTCAGAGATCTGTTGTTCTGAGGGCTCCAAAGCCCAGGTTTCTCCACCCTCCCAAGGCCCAGAGCAGAGCCCAGGGCTGCACATCCACCTGGGCACACACACACACGCACACACTGCTTCAGTTTGTATTTTTTTTTCTTAGCAAAAAAATAAAAATTTATTGTCGTCTAAAAAAAAAAAAAATCCATCCTGCCCTTGGAAACTGTGACACAGATTGAGTTCTTTCCAGCCCCACATGCAAATTCACTCTGCCAAGAAAAGAGTCTAAACCAGGTTTCCGACAGCCAAAACACATATTTACAGAGTACGAGAGAACGACAGCTGAAATCACAGTTCTATACATGGAATCAACAACACGTTTTACACCACTGATCACCATTCTGCCAACTTCTACACAGACTAGGGGCGCCTCTGCCCAGTGCCCTTCCTCCTGGGGAAAGCAGGGAAGGGACTGGGCAAGAATTGCCACCAGAAATACTGCAGTGTGTATTATTATTATTTTTTTTAAATGTATACTGTATTTATTTTGTTTTAACATTGGAAGCTACAGAGTGGGGAAGCCCCAGAAATCTCTCCAATGCAGTCACTACTTTGCAGGAATACTTCACCTTTAAAATACTAGGTTTTACATCAGTAACATCTATTTTGCTGTTGGCCATCACTCCAAGGATTATAATAACTCTGGAGGAAAACACTGGTAATATTCTTCCTTCTCAGATAGGGGAAAAGGAGGAAGAGAGGAGGTTCAGAGGCTGGGGGAACAGCAAGGGATGACTGAGTCCATTCAGTGTTAAGGGCTTCCTCCCAGGGTAAGGAATTCTCTTCATTGTCTCAGCTGCACAAGCCTTGCCAGTGGCTCAGGTTCAGCTTCAGAGATGTACAAAAGTGTAAAACCCTTCAGCAGGGGATCAGCTGCAGGGACCCCCAGGGGTGGGATCTGCTTTAGGAAATGTGCTCCAGCTCTGAGACCTTTCCTGGGTCCCTCCTGTGCCACTGCACGCACGTGGCTACGGCACTTAAGGCCAGAGCGGAGCTCAAAGTGGTCCTGGCAGCCTAAAATCCTTCACCTCCTGGCTCTCACCTACAGCTCTGACCCTGCTTGTTGCTCTGGATCTACCCAGGCTAGTGTTGTCCCAAGCCAGCTGCTTCTAGGTTGGTTTTCCATAATAATGTAAAAGTTGATTGACCTTTAGGATGCTGTGGTTTCACAACACAACCACAACTCCTTCCCCCAGCTCTCAACTCAGAAGTGTCTGACCTGCCCAATTAATCACCAAGGTCAGCTCTTCTGAAGCTCCCAAAAATTTGGGGAGGAAAATGTCATTATCCATTCAGGAGTCTGTGTGAGGAGGCAGGACCCAGCCATGGTCAGGGCTGTTCAGCTGGGCTGCTCTCCAAGGAACCCTGTAGACCCCACTTTTGTTTTGAAGCCCCCTCAGCTCTGCTGTGTTACTGTGTGTCCTGTAAAGGGAGTTCCTGCTTCAGAAGGAAGCCTGACAGTACGTGACAGGGGCTGCTGCACTTATTAGCACCAGGTTTGTTTCAGCTCTTTTTACAACATACAAAAGCTGATCACAGACTCTAAAGCCTCAACTGCAGTGCTGTGATTATGGTTTGTCCTTCCTGCACGGAGCAGGCAGCAACAACTGCTGGAGTGGGTCAGGAATGCTGCTCCTTCCCCCTGCTCCCACCTCATTTGGTTCAGAAATTGTCTTTAAATGGCCCACCAGAACATTCTAAAAATATGCAAAGATGAAGTTCTCTTTTCCATCTGATGCTTAAGAAAATAAATTCACATTTCAATATTCCTCTCCTGTTTTTTTTAAAGCAGCAAACAAATTGATAGAAACCTAAATTTAGGAAGTGTTTCTTCAAGAACCAGAGAAAAGTGAGAAAGTCTATGTGCTTGTGCAAAGAGAGTGCTGAGAGAGGATGGGGTGGGGGCAAGGGAAGGGTCTAGTGCTAATTCCTTCAGGCTGCTCTGCCATGAGTGCAGTGTGGCAATGGAAAGTTCAAATTTAAGGGCCACAAAACAGGTGAAATTCTGAATTCTTTGGTCCTTCAGTATAAGTTTTAAAACAGAGAAACTGTTTTACTCAAAAGGGAAAAACACATTTTCTCTGGCCTGGAATTTTTCCTTGTAACCCAGGGAAACTGGGGGCAAACAGCTCTTTGCCCTAAACCCCCCAAGTCCTGCATCACCCTGTGACTGTCCCAGGAGACAGCCCAGGCTGCCCTCAGGGGACAAGTTCCACGTGGAGGGATTCCCTGTTGGAATCACAGAGCTGCTGCTGGACAGATCTGGAAAGAGAGGGTTGGCAAAAGGCAGCATCACCCCTGAGCAGCCCCTGGGGAGGCAGAGGAGCAGAGAAACCCCCACGCTCATAAAAAGTGTTACAAACCATAGCCAAAAACAGGCTGATCAGCTCTGCTGCTTATAAATATTAAAGATCTGATTCAAGAGTTTATTTCCTATGATTTAAGTTAGTTACAAAAAAAAACAAACAAACTTTTTAGTAAATTTTTTTCTTATTTGGGCTTTTTCCTCCTCCTCCCCTCCCACTTTTAATTTTTTTTTTATTTTTTATTTTTCCTAAAAAAAAAAGAGAAATGTTCATGTATTTTAATAAAAGGTCTTTCTTTAAGATCAGACCAAGGCAGATGTGCTGCCCCATGGCACAGACATTCAAAGGCTATAACCAAACAACATAGCCACAATAGTCACTCAACAGTGTCTCTCCATTAAAAAAAATTAAAAAACCTGATGCTAGTTACAATAAAATACACATGGAAAAAAAGCATTTTTACCAAAAAACCCAAAACAAGTTAATGGGAAAACATAAAAAAGAACTACACAGAGCTGCACTTAAGAGATCATCTGGGAATGCATATTAACCCCTTCCATGGAGAGGAAAGGTGGAATTATGGAAACAAACCTAATTATGTGTTTGTATTAAATATGAAGCTTTCTGAGAGGCTCTGGTAAAAATTCAGTTTTCCTACAATAGTGGGCTGCTGGAGGTTCCAGTGCTTTTCCAGGTCATGGAGGGGCAGCACAGGAGCATCCCTGTGCAAAATAAAAATATTTAGTCAAGTGAGTGGCCTTTTGGTTGAGATCCCAGCAGGTTACTGCAATCCACCTGATGTAAAAATCCAATGGACATGCTGGTAAGGAAAGTCACAGGAAAGCTCAGCTGCTGGGCAGGTCTGAGCTGGTGGCATTTCTCTGTCCTGCTGGACTATTTCTGTCACCACACTTCTCCAGCACCAGGGTTTCTGGAGCCAGCAATCCACAAACCACCCTTGAGCTGCTGACACAGGCAACAAAAATGTCCTCAGCCTACCTGCAATTGGTTCATGCACTTCAGCAATGACTACGAATCAGGTCCCTGTGGCTAAAACAAAACTAATCTGGTCTGAAACAGTAAAAAGTCTCTAAACAGCCACCAGACAAAGGGGTGCCTGGAGAGAACTAACCTCTGCATCAAATTTCCTTCATAAAGGGCTTTGGCTCACCCAAGGGCAATACTTCTAAGGCTGCTCAGACCTGGAACATGTTGGCTGCATCAGCAGTGAACATTGGTCACTGAATTTTGGGGCTTGGCTTGCTCTAGGTCCAATAGAAATTTTTTTTTCCCTCTTTTCTTCTTTTCATACAAATATACAAAGAGTGTAAAAAAATTTAAAAAGTGAACTTTGCTGATTAAATGCCAGACAAAGTTCCTGCACATTCAGAGATGGGCAGTGTGAGGCCCTCCAGGCAGGAGCCTGGCAGAGCTCCCATCAGGGAGGACGGCTTTAACCAAGCTGGGTCAGTGAAAGAGCAGGGGGACCGAAGGCATGAGCAAGTCATTTCAAACCACCTCGATCCTCCCCGTGATCTCAACTCTTCCTCTGGAAAGCACGTGGAAGCCCCTCTTGCCCACTCTAAGTCCTTCTGGAAATAGTCAAAAATTTGTTATCATCTAAATAGAAAAGAGGAGAAACACAGACTCTTTGCAAATGGCCCTTTGATCTGTATTAAAAACAGCTCTCAAAGTTCATCAAGAGTTAGAATTAGTGGGGCACGGGTGAGGGGCAGTTTAGATACGGGATGTAAAATATTAAAAAGTGCTCTGCAACTAATTTTCTGTTTTCATGTGTGCATGTGCGTGTGTGTGCACGTCCCTACAGGTGCACAGCCACGCCCATGCACACACATATATACATATATATATATACACATACATATATATGTACGTATGTATAAAGTTAAAAAGTTCTCTAGGATATGATCAGAAGGAGTGTCCCTGGAAGGTCACGACTGCAGAGAGTGGGGCCTGTTGGGGTGGCAGATGGGGCACTCGCCCTCCTCAGCGCACGTCTCGCACAGCACCGCGTGTTGGCACGGCAGCACCACCCGGTTCTCCTCCTGACACTTAAGGCATTTCACTGACTGCATCTGAAATACTGCCTGCAAGAGAGGGGACAGGGCACAGTGTCAGTGTCACACACAGGGCAGGGAGGGCTTGCAGCTGTCTGCCCTGTTCATCTCCTGAAGCAAAAGGGAAGCAGCACAGTGCGATGCCTTTCAGGACCTTTAGGATCAACAGAGCAGCTTTGATTGATTTACACTCTGTATTTTAGGCACAAAGAAGATGGAGTTATCTTCTTGTGAGCCAGCTAGAGCTCACTTTGACTACATCTACCTGGAGTCAGGCTTCTGAATTCTGAGTCTAACAAAGAAAAGGAGAAAAGCTGTGACCTGTAGGAGCAGAGAGGGCAGAGCCCTGCCCTGCCAGGCCCTGGCACTCACCTTGTCCACTTTCTCCAGGTTTGCCCGCAGCTGTTTCTGCAGGGTGTAGAGCGACGAGAGCGAGAGCGTCTCCAGGTCAGAGAAGGAGCGCAGGAACTGCGGGTCCTGCCCGGTGTGGATCCTCTCCAGCTCCTCCTGCAGTTTCTTCACTTGCAGCTCCAAGGCTTCCCTCTGCTCCCGGGCCAGTTCACATTCCATGTTAGCTGTGTTGGCGCGATCATTTGCTTCCTCTGCCTCCTTTTTCCAAGCATCACAAGCCTGCAAGTCCCAACCAAAGAGGGTAAAAGAAGCAGTCTGAAAACTTGGTCTGTCTCCAAAGAGAAACCCAGGCAAAACTATCAATTTCCATACACTCCTCACACCAGTTCTGACCAACCTGGCCTGTTCCCAAATTCTGAAACATGTTTGGAGCCTTACTTCAAGGCACTGCTCATTCCACATATTCCATCTGCTTGGGCTGTGGTTCTACTCATCTGGCTCACAGCATTCAGGGGATGAACTTTGCATACTGATAAATCATCATGGATCAAAGGTCTGAGAGACTGTCAAACACTTTAGGGCATCTGTTGTGACATCTGGCCTTGCAATTTCAGCACCTGAACACACCAAGCCAAGCAATTTGGTGATTTCCAAGGGAGAGGAAAGAATGCTGAGAACCTGCAAAACCTACAGCTCTGTCCATCACCTCCCTGTCCAGAAAGAGCCTGTTGAAGGCTGACACCCTCCACTGCTATACACTCCCTAATCCCAGGATCTGCCCAAGTACCTGCTTGGCTTGTTTCCAAGACTCTTCCCACTGCTTTATTGTGCCGTTGGCCTCATCCAGTTCCTGTCGCAGCCGTGCCATCTCCGCAGCACCTGGACCTGACAGAAATGCAGGTGAGGTACTGGGCGAAAAACTCCCCGAAGCAAAGTGTTCCCATATGCTGCTGTTCATCCCATTTAAACCTGTTTCACAGGGAAATAGAGAGGGTTATGTCACAGGTGCTGGTAATTTCCCCATTTCCTCCCTAACCCTGTGAAATCCAGGATTCATAAATGTGCAAATAGGATAAAAAGTCCATCTTAAGAATCAGTTTCATCCCCCTGAGTCCATCATAGAGAGATTTTATAGGGAAATTTCACAGCATTAGGCCCTCATCTTTAGTGATGCAGGGAGGAACCATGGCACTGAGTGGAGACAACTCTTGAATCAATCAGGCTGTTTTCAGAAGCATCACTTTTACAGCAGAGCTGACTGTCAGCTTGAATGCCCCTTCTTTCAGGGGAACCCCTGTCCTGCTTCTACCTCTCAATTTTCAGTGCAGCACAGCCACCAGAGCTGGTTCACAGAGCCCAGGTGGTGCTTTCTCCCACCCTACACCCTAAGAAATTTCTGCCTTTGTCTCCTCAGTGTGGGGCTGAGAAAAGGAGCCTCACTTCCAAACAGTGTCAAAAAAATGTTCCAAGTCATTGCTGTTTCCATACACAAGGAACAGAACTGGAAAATCCTGTTTATAAACAAGTAGAGACAATAGTATCTGTATCTGCTTCATCCTCTGCAGAATTCTAGCACTGAGCTAGCGAGCAGCACCAAAGAAAACTAATCAGCCATTTCCCTATTTTAGCTTGTTCAAATAAACTCTCTTTTCAGGAAGAATTTCAAGGCTTAGGAGACAAAGGAGTAGAGTATCAGTTGTAGACAAAACTGGTTATTTTTCCAGAGTGCAATGTTCATATTCTTTCAATAACTTTCACTTAAAATAGGTACCCACACTTGCATTCAGGGGAAAACTAGCAGGAAAAGGTAACATTGAGACAGAGTGTGGACTCTCACCCTCACAGTTTGCTCCAGTTTGATGTGGGAGTCATTTTCATGCAGTGATGCTCACCAGTGGCTGGGAATATTCCTAAATCGAGTTGCAATTGATAATTCTGATCTCACAGCAGCTAAACTGTGCCTGCAAGTGAACCCTGGAATCAACAGCCTCTCACTGAGGTCAGTCCCAGCACCACTGACTTCCCAGCCAAGACACAAATACTGACAAAATTGTCTTCACCAAGGGCTTAGGCACATGAACTCATTCAGCAGAGCAGCAAGGGATCTTTGCTGGCTCAGGCCACTTACCACAGATCCATTTCAGCTGCTCTGAAGGGTGCTCAGATTAAAGCAAGAAGTTTTAATGGATTCCCAACTCACATTTTATTTTTTAAACCTGAGTTTTCTTGAATGGGAATCCAGCATTAAGCAGAATGCTGGCAAGCCACAAATTCTGCCACAGTGCTGACCAGGCTGATCTTTGTTGTAACTCCCTCTTTCCATCTGCTGTTCTCATTTCACATTGGAAGTATCAAGCCCCTTTGGGCAGAAAAGCCTTCTCTGCACATTTTGCACCTAGCACAGTGGAAACCAGCCCAGAACTAGGTATTTTTAACTCAATTTCAATACAAATAAGTGATAACTACACACTTGACATGTTACGTGCATTCACTAAGTTAAATGGAACAGATGATTGCCAACTGCTAAGATATTATTTAAATATCTTCCCAAAACCCCAGCAAAGGATTTGTTGCGTTTATGGAAAAATATCTTTTATAAATAAATTATTTAAATGCATTTGTGAATTTCCTGCAATTTTTGGCTTTTTATTTATATAAATACACAGTCAAGATAAACATAATTCATTTCTTCTGAAACAGCAATTTTTCCTTTCCTTACAAAAACTAGGACAAACAGCCAGCCTCAACCTAATTAAGAGCAGAGATGGCCTCTGATGTCTTTTATTACAGTAATTGTAAAAGCTGTTAAAGCCTAACAAGCAGCAATGGGAAGCATGGAAGCATGGGCTTGGGCTGTGCAAACAAGGGATGCAGTTACACAGATAAGTGCATGCAGAAATAGCTTACACAAGCATGTAATAATTTTATTAGGTCAAGCTTAATATTAAAGATTAAAGTGTATCTCAGACTTTAGGAGGCATTTATGTCTAGCATCAATAGAGAGAATTAATATTTACTGTTACAAACAGAAATGAGCTGAACTGGTGTCCCTGTAGCCTGGAGGCCAAACAGTTTTATTTCTCAAGGTAATCCCATGTCTTGATAATAAAACAGATTTGACTAATTCCCTGTTCTAAATTTGGCTAAATTCCCTGTTCTTCCTGATACAGCTGAAGCTCCAAAGTAATTTTTTCTTCCTTCAGTCCCTTGTTCAGGAGAAAAGCCCTCAAGGAGGGGAAGGAGCAAAGGGGACAAAACTGAAACACTGACTTTTTGGAAAGTCCACACTGCAGAACTGGTGCAGAGTGTCAAACAGGAGAAAAAGTTCCAGTGGCCCAAGCTTGCTCTAGACCTCCCAGAAGCCAGTCTGGCCCACAAGTAGTCCCAAGGGCAAACTGTAATTCCTACCTAAACTAAACTGAGCTAAGCTGAGGACCCAGCTCTGAGTTTTATATGAAATCTCATCAAAGCACCACTTTGCTGGTGCTGGAAAAGGCAGAGCTGTTTTTCCTGAAAGGCATCATCAGAGCAAGGCAATTAACCTATCTGCCCCACTTTCCCAGCCTAGAAACAAGGAAAGTAGAGGGAATTGATCCCTTGTTCATGAGGTATTAGCTGACTTTTGGTGAAACAGCTTCTAGTCCCATTGCTGTTCTCATGGGAAGAAGGGATCCATGGCAGCAGTGAAATAACACACTGAAATTAAAGCCAACTGAAAAGAAAATACTTACATGGCACAGACAGGCATGTACATGGGACACACACACTGTGCATTTACCTAATGATCCATGAGAAGCTGATGTCCCCAGGAAAGTGTTTTCTGACTGGCTTAAGTGTCCCTGGGGCTGATGGAGGAAATGCGATGAGAGGCTGACCGGTGGAGAAGGAGAGGCGGAGTGAAAGGAGGCAGAGCTTCCAAGGGACCCGGGGATATTTACAGGAGCAGAACTTTGCAGCAAACTCCCACCTGGACAAAGAACACACAGAGAGGATGGCTATGTATGATCATGAGGTGTGGACACAGGCAGGAGTTCAGAGCAGGAGGTGTCAGGTTCCCTTTCTCCTCCCTGAGTCCCTCAGGATTCCCTCCACTTCTGAGGTTTCATTCCCCGCTCAGCCTTTAAGAGGAGCACTGAAGCTGCCATCCCATGACCCACATAGGTTAGGACCCTCCACAATTCAATGGATTACTCTTTCAGTGGCCAAAGGAACAAAAGGTTTTCTGAGCAGAGCTCGGTCTCTGTCAGTCTAGAGAAGATGAATTTGGTATCTGGTGAAATACTTTGTCACAAAAAATTCACTTCTAAAACATGTGCCTCTGCCTTTATACTTCCAAACAACCTGTAGTGAGAAGACCACCATGACCTCAACCACTAAAAACCAGTGACTAGCTGTAGCTACACATACCTGAGTGCCTGGATCTATCAGTAATAAACCCCAAATAAACAAAAGCCTAACCACAAAAGACATCACCTTACACCAGAGGTTGTTCTGCCTGCCACTCACAGATTTAGGGAGATCTCAGCCCTGCTCTCTCCTCATCTATGTCCCTCCTTAGAAGATCACCAGGTATCACCCAGGCCTGATGTGAAGAGAGGGAGAAGGGGAGGATCCCTAAGGCACTGCAGGTGGGGAGCAGCAGCAGCAGGGCTGGCAGCAGCCAGGGACAGTAAACCTCCAACAGGCTCTAATCTTTGCCAGGGAAGTGGAAGTAATATTCTTTCCACAGGTCCTTTCCTACCTCAATACAGCTCCAGGCAGTGCAGTTCCCTTGGAAACCTTCAGACAACCAGTTAGCTCCTGTTGAAACAGCTGCTTTACACAGCAAGGGCAGCCAGAAACTACAACCACTTCCAAAAAAGTTATGAGACATTTCTTTTTTCCCTGGACACCCATCAGAGACAGGTAGAAGAGGCCTTAGCCTACCTCCATGTATCAAAATGAGACAGACATTACAGGAACCAAATCAGCAGACCATGATGACACTCTGACAGATGGATGGCATTACCAGGTCAGTGAGTTTCCTGTTACAGCTAGGGAGAGTTTTCTGCTTAAGATGCAAATTGTTATAATTTGGCCTGATTTGAAATGCATCAGATGCTTTCTGGAGTCCACTTACACATTAAAAAAAAAAAAAAAAAAAAAGAAAAAGAAAAAATAAAGAAAAAAAAGGAGAAAAAAAAGGAAAAAAAAAATCAGGCAGGTCCCATTCAGTCTCAAGAAACATCCCCAAGACAGCTGGGCTCAATGGCAACAGCTCAGCTCTGCTACTCAGTAAGGGCAAGCTCTCACTTCAAAGATGCTCAGGGGTTGCCAGAGTTTGTTGTAATTGCTGTTTTAACCAATGTCATTTTGGGACTGGTTTTAGAGCTTGGTTGGGCTGGCTCCACTGAGGTGACTGGGCAACACTGCTTGGCAGAAGATAAAGAAAGCTCTGTTGCTTTCATGTACCTATCATGATGCCACTCGTGTGGGGCACTGTGCTGCTGTCAAATGTCTTCTCCAGGGCAGCCACTCCGAATTCATTCAGGTCCAGGTCATCCAAGGCAGACTCTGCCAGACACAGAGGTACCAATTATGTTATAAAGGACCAACAACTTCAAGAGATAGGATGGCCCAAAGAGCCTACATGCAGAGGAGCCTGTGCTTGCTACCTCTCAGGGCCCTACTCTCCATCCTGTTCTCAGATGGTTTGGCAGAAGTGTCATGGGCAGCTTTTCAGTTCAGGTTCTTTCACCTGACCTGTTTCTTTTTGTTTTAAAGTATTCCCAAAGGGTATATGAAAACAAAAATCTGATTAATTAACAGCAGATCCCATAAGTCTTCCCCAAACTGTTCTTTTAAGTCTGTTCCTTATGTACAGGAACACTGCCTTATGGCATGTCTGGGTCTGGTTTGTGCTCTGTCCCTGCTTTCCTGAAAAGCCACTTGGAAAAGAAATACCAGGAGAAGGGAACACTTGAAAAACATCTCTGAGGTTCTCATATTGGGTAAAATAAAGCTTATTAATGCCTGAAACTGTTATATCTATTTGAACATGCCTCATCACTAATGATGATCAATATAATTCCATCCCACACATGCCCACTCATTTCTATTATTATTTTTAACAAATTAGTGAGATCACCTCAGAAACGTTACATTTAATTAAAAAAAGGAAAAAAAAAGAAAAAAAAAGGAAGAAGAAAAACAGGTGACCAAAAAGCCTGTGCCTATCTAAGAGTGATTCCACTCTCTGGACTCTCCTGCTTTCCTTTCTCTTACAGCCTCTGTCCTACACTCTACAAAGGGCAAAGTCCTTACAATCTACCTGGTGGTAGCTCTGGCTATAAAATTCTCATTTAGAACGGAGGGGTTGTAACTGTGGAAAATGCTCCTGTGATTTCCTGCCTAGTCCAAGATCTCTTTGTCACTTTGACAAAGCTAAAGCTAAGGCCCTTTTACACCATGTGACATTCTGAGTGAGTGGCTCAGAGGCCTTCAGTTGGTCCCGTGGGTGAATTTCATCCCAAATGACCTGCAGGAAACATCAGACGTGTCACAGTCACAGAACAAGCTTCAGCAATCTGCCAGCACTGACAGACACGGAAAACTGGAGGTCACTGGAACACCCAGGTTACTCCAAGTCTCATACCTGGAGATCCATGGCTGAGGAAGCCCTACTGTCATAAGTGAAAAAGGCAAAGTTACCTATGACAGACTCAACGGTGTCACTGGTTGGGTAGAAGGGAAGGGCATTGGCATTCATGCCTGGAATGCTGCTGGTGCCGGCGGGGCTCGGGGGGGTTGCAGCCAGACTGGAGGTGATACTAGAGGAGATGCTGGATGTCAGTGGGCTCCCCACTGGGAGAATGCCCAGGATGTCCTGAAACAAGAGTGTGGAAAGCGAAAGAGGTAGGAAATAAAACATCTTTCTAGAACAACCCCTTCAGAAACGTGCAGGAAGGAGCCAAATGCCAGCAGCAAACCTGTTTCCTGCCTGCTTCCAACCTGACAGATGGCTACTGCTACCACTGGGCTGGGGGTGGGGAGAGATTAACAGCTTTTCTTTAATTTCTGTCGACTGTTCTCCATTCTGTGTCCCCCCTCCCCTCCCCAGTATTCTAAACATCTTTCAGGCTGCCCCAGAATTAACTCCTGTGACCCACAGGTTGCATGCAATCACAGCCATGGGCCACACAATCACTCAGTCAGACTTAGTTCAACACACGACTTAGAATCTGATATTAAATTCCCTTTGCCAAATCCTTGAACTTAGATGACTCCAGAGATCCATTCCAGCTCAATTTTCTGTAATTTGAAGACTCTCCTGCACAGTCCAGCCCTATGAATCTACCCTGAATTCACTCAGGTCTAACTACTCCCAAATAACACCTCCAGCAAATCATCCCATCTTCATAAAGTAATCCCTCCAGCTGAGCATCCCTAATGGTGTCTGGACTGTTATTTACTCCCTGCAGAGCTGTCTGGATCCACAGATTTCTCTGTGGTGCTGGAAGCCCTGAGCTGGGTTCAGAGCCCTGCCAGCAGTTCCATACCTGTTTGGGCTGTAACAAAGGTTGCTCCTGGCTCCTGTGTTCCAGGGAGTGGGACTTCATTTTTGCTTGCTGCAGTAAAGAAACAAAACAAAAGATAAGCAGAGGGATTATTTAGCAAAATTAAAAATGGCTGGCTGCTGGCTTTGGAAAGGCCATGGGAAACACAGTCCACTCCTCTCTTGGGCTGTCCAAGGCACTGGAGAATTTGGGGAGAGGAAAAGCACAGCAAACTGAAAACATTCCAAGTCATTTGCTTTCTCTATAGCAAGACATTACCCCTAGAATTATGCAGAGACTTGTCACAGTGACATTTGCCTTTAATGCTGCTATAAGACCCCTGCTAGCACAAAGCACATCCTAAGAACCACGATCAAAACTGAATTATTTTGCCTTGCTATAACTAACTCATCAGCCCTACTGCATCTAACACCCAGGAAGGGCCAGAAATGGTGGGAGGCACACTGCATTGTTATATTATGCAAATATTTTTCAGTTTGGGGAAAATAAAAGTATGTAGGTTATGTTTTCCCTCAAACCTTTCCAGCTCCCAGCTAGGATTGCAAAGTAAAACACAGTGATAACTAACCAATTTTCAAAGCAACATCATCAAACTAACCTTACAAAAAATCCTCCCCTTATCCATTAACATAAGAGCTCAAAGGTAGAAAACATAAGTGAGGCCAAGGCTGTCTGGAATTGCAAAACTGCATGAATGCCAATACACATTTGGAATCCCACTATCCAGGCTAAAAATTCGGCTTAAGGTCCTTTCAGCATTATATCTTCAATGGATCTCAACTGTCTTGCCTTGCAACATCAGTCAGTTCTGCTGGGATTCAGCTGGGAAGTGGCCTCAGGAGCCTGTCAGTCTGTCTGCAGGCCTTGCTCCCTTCCTCCCATGCTGTGACATGGCACAGGGAGATCAATCCCACCCTTTGGGCACAGAGAGGCAGCAAAAAAGTGCTGGGAGTCAGCCCTGCCTGTTTACTCACTCCCCAGCCCCCCAGTGTGAAACACAGACATATTCCAGCCATAAAGCAAGCCTGGTTTTTATCCCAAATCCAGGCAGGCACCATCTCTGCAGGAAACTGAGGCATGGTGTGCACCAGCAGCACATGAGGCACCATCCTGAGCTGAAGTGATAGCCCTTGACTTCTTGGCTGAACAGTCTCATGCCAAAGAAAAATGAGTGCTGGAGAGGGGTGACGTAACCAGACAGGCAAAAGAGCAGTGCAAGAATTCCTTTCTTGCTTTTACTTCATTAAATCATTTTCTCTGCTCAGCTCGATGCCTGTGGGCAGACAGAGAGGTCAGAGCCTGCCAGACAGGCAGCTGGGAGATGGACACAAAGATACTCCTGCAGTGTTCTCTCACACTTCCCTGAGCATGTTCACAACACAGGAGCTGGTGATGGGCTGGCTCTGCTCTGTGAGTGAGAGCTGTGCTCTGTGAGTGCCTCTGTGAGTGTCTGATAAGGCTGCTGCTGCATTAGCCAGCACAGCCCTGCCCTGTCTGACACTCTGAACACAAAATGTGCCATCTCAGACGTCAGCAGTGAGGGGAGGGCACACAGGCAGCCGTGCCCCCACTGAGAGGCTTCCTGCCAGCCTGGGGAGCTGCCTCTGCTGCAGTTAAGTCTTACTGGAAGTGCCTTTTTTTTTTTTTTTTCTTTAAGGAGGAGAAAAGTGAACATATTTCCAAGTCAGCCCCAATTCCAAATGCCTGGAATTCACACAACACAAGGGAAAAATAGAGCAAACAAAATGTCACCACTAAGGCAGTCTCCTTTAGCTCTGAATAACATTAGAAAGGGCACACGTTGAGACAGATGTTCAAAGGACAGGCTGCAATTCACCAGCTCCCTCTGTTGCAGTCAGGGAAGAGAACAAGGGACATAAATTGAGTGAAACTAAATGTTTTCTGACCAGCATGGAACAAACCTACTGTGCTGTGTGTCAAGATTGGGAACACCTCCTGGTTGTGGCATTCAAGTCCTTCCAGTGCAGCCAGCATTTTTCCAGCTTGCTAAATCTTCTGGGACTTGGGAAAAGTATTTTTAGCTTTAACTGCTGGCTCAGCCTTACCATAAACTATGTGGAATCTATTAAGACAGAAGGTGCATTTTTCATTCTAATAAGATAGAAACTATTTGTATAAATTCTACAGGGGAAAAATGACAAGGCCATTGCAGAACTGAGCCAGAGTGTCTCCTCTGACATTTCCACACAGGAGCTGACAAAGTTAAATGCCTCATTATTGATCTAATTTACAGGGTATTTGAGAATCTCTGGTGCCTATTGCAGCCAAAGGGAATTACAGTAGAATTTTAAAACTAAGTAATTATGGATTAAAGTAAAATTAAATCAGGACACTTATGAGACACCTAATCTTCTGTGTAGAAGCCTAGCATAAGGCAACTGTGATTACTTCTGTCTATACCTTAATAGCTATTTATTCCTATTTAACACAGGTTTTGCTTAATTAAAGCACATAATTAAGCAGTTATGTGAATACAGTATCTTCATAGCACAGATCTGACTCCAGATACAAATGCTCATCATCTGGCCTTCCTTTTACAAGTCCTATTCATGCTCCATCCCTTTTCTCCTTGGCTTAGGCTTGCTGCCCATTTTCTCCAAAGCAGGGCCTCCTTGGCATCCTGCCTCTGCTGGCAGCAGCCAGGGGTTCTCTCAGTCCTTCAGCTCTGGGTTCACTCCTCCTTTGCAGCAAAGGCCACAGAGAAGGAGGACATGTTTTTCCTTTTGTTTCTAAACAACTGTTACAAGCTGCTGTGCCGGCAAGAAGTGCCAAGATCACAGCATGCTCTGCTCTTTACCCCCAAAGATGTGTTGCATCAATTTGCAGTTTCCTAAGGCACATCCCCCGTAGGCCAGACAAAGGGAGCATTGATAAGAGAGCACACATGCATATAGCTTAATCTGGATTTGTCACTGCATCATTTTAATTAGACTAAACAGTGCTCAAGACTGGCCCTACTGCAAAGCTTGGCCATATTTTCCCAAAGCCATAAAAATAAATAAAACCCATGGAGTCTGCTGCTAAATTCAACTACTTTATGCAAGACCTTGTCTGGACAGGATATTTCCACAGTTTTCTCACAGCAGTACAGGCCCATTAAGACTGACTTCTTTAATGTCACAGACCAAAGTGAAAACATGGCCAGGTTGAAAGCAGCACTTCTTGTCCTCTCAGTTCTCAGGCAACACAGACCTGGTATTCTTATGCCTTTTTATACTCTTGTCCAAAAGAACTTGCAGGAGATACATTTGCAGCAACCTCCTCATACAAGTAACTATTCCCATCCCCCTAAATCAAGATAAAATTACCAACCCAGTGAGAAATAAAAACTGAAATAAAAACCCAAGCTCTGGGTTGGGCTCAGGTTGGAAGGGGTGGTGCAGATAAACTATTAATTGTAACACCAAGAAAGGAAATTCACAGCAATAAACTGACAGTGGAAAAGCTCATGTGTGGCAAAAGAGCTGGAGAGATTGTTCCAGGCCTAGGGAGCAGCATGGATATAGCATGACACCAGGAAGAAGACTAAGGAAGCAACAAGGCAAGAGTGGGATATCCAAAAGGGCTAAGAGGGAATGTCATTAAGAGATGTGGCCTGGGTAGTATTCAGAGGGTTCTTCAGATAAGAATGAGGAATTCTAATTTAATACAGAAGGCACAGGACAGAGTCAAGGATCAGAATGATCAGAATGAGCCACAGAAGCAAGAGACAACTAACATGACATCTTCAGTACACCAGAGGAATGGTGAACAGAGGACAAACCAAGTGATGGAGATCAAGGTAAGAGTTTGGAGTTGAAAGACAGAAGGAAGGATGAGTTTCCATGAGACAATACAGCAAAAGACACAGCAACTCCTGGCAAGGACCTAAACATGGAAAAAGAAAGAGCAAGAAGTGATGTGGGAAGCTACCCAGGGTCAACACAAGACAGAAGTTGAGAGGGGTTAGGAAAACAAGCAGCAGCTCAACTTCTACAGACTCGGTGTGTGATGGCAGCAAGGGAGACAAGACCAGATGTGAGATGAAAGAGGCTGGAAGGGAGACTGAAAACAAGAGCAGAGATCCAGAAGCTGCTCATATGAGAACAGTGCTTTCCCACTTTTGTTCCATCAGAAACAAAACTCCATTCAAGCTAGACTGGGCAATCTCTTATTCTTTCTTATCCCCCCAACTCTTCCAGCCAATATTCCCCACTAACCTGGCATTTGAAACTCTTCAAATACTCGGCCCCAACCTGATCTTCTCGCTCAAACCCCGGTGCTTTCTTGTAGCTGCCAGCTGCTGTGACTGAGTCTGGAGGAAAACCAATGCTCTCCAAGCTGTGGGGCTTCCCAATGGCACCAGGAGGAGACCCACATATATTAGATGGACTTCCAAGACTGCTGTTCCTACAAAGAATCTAACAGAGGGAACAAGTGTCAGGAAAGAACAGCCAGACAGCAGGAACTGCTCAAAGAGGCATCCATGGAAGGGTTCAATCACGTCACTGTTTGTGGATTGATTACACTGACAGCCAACACAACCATACAAGCTTCCAATAAACACTCATTAAACAGACAGGAAAAAGTTCCACTGAATTTACACAGTCCCACGATTATGGTTTTATTGTTGAAACTTTGGAGTGCAGTCTTGGAAAATCTACCCTACAGCTCTAGTGACATTTTTCTTCCTGAGGCCTCAGAGGTGACTGATCAGGTTCCCAACATGACCACAACACTCCTCTCTTTCCTTAGGCTACAGTGGGTCCTACTCTGGGTAGTGGTGTGGAACCTGGAAAGGTGCTGTGGCAGTCACAACAGTCAGTCATATCTGAGCTATATGTAATACTCTGTTTTTTGCTTTCCAGTTGGAAATCTCAGAGTTTTAATGCAGACACAAGTCAGGTATCAACGGCTGCATTAAAAAAACCCAATGATTTCCAACACTTCCATTCTTTGGACTAATACCAGGGATCACAATCACATGCAACAAGGCTAGTTTTGCACTGTAGATGAAGCCACAGACAGCAGCAAAAGAAGTTGAGTTTTAGAGAATGTGGATGAACACAAATATCCCATTTCTCTGGGACAAATAAGTATTCGCCTCCACTGGCAAGCACGACTGTGCTTCAGACATCACACATTCAAATGTGGAACAGTCTGGGCTGGCATTAGAGGGAAAAAAAAGGAGCAGCCTACAATGTTTTTATTTTATTTTTATACAGACATTCTGCTGTCCACGCTTCCCTACAGTCACAAAGATAACTACTCACTGTGGTGGAGGTGGGGCTAGTTGGCAGAGTTCCTGATTTATTCCACACCTACAGTACAAATACAAAACAGAACAGGCCACGTGAGGCTGGCTGCTAGAGGGACCTTTTTCTCTGATTAATTCATCATGTAAAATGATCACCAGCAAAGCCATATTTGTTTGCAAGCTACATGCAGATGCCCTGTGGAGTGATGAAGTCATAGACAGACATGTGCTGCCATTTGGCACATATCCAAGGATTAGGAAAGGCTGTTTAAAAGACTAAGAGCTTGAGATAGACAAGACCTAAACAGCCTAAAAGAAGGAGATATCTTCAACTGCCCTGCAGTTTTTCAGTGAATTTAAACAATACCTTCATAAGATGGAGGCGTTTTTATTGCTTTCCAGTGTTATTTAGTAAGAGACAATATTATGTCCAGACTTTTCAAGATGTGTTTGCAATTCTACCCCCAATCCAATTCAGGACAACTATGAAGTGCTAGGTTGGCTCAAACACAGCTTCTCTTTTCAAAGAGAGGGAATAAAATAAAGCAGAGGTCCTATATGAGTTCACCTCAGTCTGACCAGTTTCAAATGAGTTAAATTCATGTCACTGTACCTTCTCAAAACCTCAGCCAACCATTTGAAAAGGTTACACACCTTATCAAGTGCAGTACAAACAGGAAAGACTTAACAAAAAAAAAGAAATAACTAGGAAAAAATGTAGTCTAGCATTCCATGGGTTTCTAATCTGACTCTGAGTATCTGCTCAGCACTTAGACATCTCCTTTCTTGTATGGACAACTAACTACCAACAATGTGGGAGCATTACTGAAACATATCCCAGAGTTTAGCTATCTCCAGAAGTACAAGAGGGAGGGAACTAAGGATATCCTATAATGCAACACACAATATGCACAGGCTAAGGCTCTGAGATTACATATGTAAACAAACTCAATTGTAGTTATGTACTTTAGAGGCTGTTGGCTCACAGCCTTCAATTATAGGTCTTGGAAGCTGAGCCCAATATGTACCTCCAAACAGGAAGGAGTTGGACTGCATGTGCGGATGTATTCCACTCTCCTGAAAGTACATCAACAAACCCTGCACAGAAAGGAAGGCCTGGAATTTTTATATGTGAGAGGACAATACTAAAGCCCCTGAATGTATGTTCCAAAAAACCAGATCCCTCTAAAAAGCATGGAGCTGAGAACTAGGAGAAAAATCTCATATCCTCTGGGCTTTGGGATACTTTTCTTGGGAGAAAGAACAGAGACTCAGAGAAACACAGATTTGCACAACATGGACAAGGCTTCTCCACAGGACTACATACATTGCTAAGGTCTGGGGCATGAGGACTGGAAGGGCTGACTGGAACAGAGTCCCCAGCTGCTGAGGGCATGTACATCACAGGTGCTGTCTGGGTGGGGCTGGACACGGCCGAGGATTGCTGCAAATCTTCGCTGAGCGCCGGCTCTGCGGGAGACAAAGCACAGGGACACCCTCAAAGCTCAGCCACTGCCATGGAGCACAAAACATTTAGGAACAAGAACACCCAGATATTCCTGAGAGAAAAAATACTCCACAAGCACCTACTTATAAATGTAGAAGTAAGAAGAAACCTTATTTGGCTCGTTTGCTTATCTAATATTCCTCACGTTTTTACTGTCATCATATACACACTGTGCTGCTCATTAATGCTGCTCCAAAATTATCTTCCCTGCATGAATTGTGTGTTATTCATTCAGCTCTCTTGAACTAAGCAGAGTTTCCTTCTTTGCTTGGCACAGAGTTGATGGGTGCATTATAATTAGCTGAGGGAGTTAAAGTTTCCATCTGCTCAGTACAAATCATTACCAAAAAAAAGTGGCACTGGTTTGGAAGGTAGAGATGCTGTAGATTTGTAGAATTTACATCTAACACTCAGCAACTTCACAAAAACGATAGAACTGACACTACATCTATATTTCAATATCTTCAAAATGCTGGTTACTTGCTATTAATCAGTAAAACTCAGGTTAAGAGCAGATATAATAAATGGACTCCTGTTATTTTAATTTCATTTGGCCTGTCCTTCTTGACCTTGTAGGAAGGACTAAAAGATACAAATACATAAGACAGCACAAGAAATAACCAAGTTGGAATGACCTAAGTGCCACAGAATGTTACTCTAAGTAATATAATATCAGGTGTAGTAATCTTATTAGGAGTAGGGCATTCCTAAACAAAAATACTGTATTAAACCCAAGGAAGTTTGCTAAACACTGTTTCTTTATCAAGATTTCATTTTCTAAAGCTTGCTGGATCCCACTGTGTAGCTGCACTGCTGTGTTTTGGTCCATTACAGCCCACAGCTCCAGCTATAATTACTGCTTGTCAACAAGGCTTCCTATAAAAGGAACAGCACAACCTGTAGGGAATTCACTCTCCCCATTCCTTGTCAAAGGCAGCAATTACTAATTCTCTCATTTACAAAGGATAATCAAATAACAAGAGATTTTCTCAAGGCCATGTAGTGAGTCAGTATCAGAACAATCTAGTGAATAACCTGCTCTAATAATTGCAAATTCAGCAGTGAGATTGCAGAGCAACAACTGAGGAGGAGCCCTAAAACAGGAACTAACAATTATTTATGAATGTTAGGATCACCTGCAGGTAGAACTTCCACAACCAAAACTGCATCACTAGTTTATAGTTGATTAAACTGAGGATTGAAATAATGCCCTATAAGTCAGGGAGCTATTGAGAAAAGAGGATTTGAGATAAAGCAGTAAAAAAAAAAGCTGCATATTTTTCTTCTCCAACCTGACTTAAAGACTTAAATTCTAAGTAAAACTTTGTAAAGAGTAAAATAGCTTTTTTTTTAAATGGATCAATAAATTATTTACAATCAGCAATCTTATCTTCAGCTTTTTAAGATATGACACTTGGCAATTTAGCTAGGTAGTTTATCCATGCACAGAAGAGAAGCAGATTTCTCCAGTTCCATTCTCCTGAACCGACACCCAGAGAACTGAGCAGGAGAGAGGGAACAGAGGGAGATCCTTCAAGAGACAGAGCAGTGAGAGCTAAAGGCTGAGTCCTACAGGCCACCTACTGCCTCCAGCTCTGCCAACACTTCCCACACCAGCACAGATTTATAGAAATCAAAGTTAACCCTTCACAGAAGCTCTGGTTTTGCAGCTGTACATTTAAATTCTCTTGGTCAGAAGCTTTCCATAGCTCAAACATCCAGGAAAGATGAGAGAAGTAGTGCACGTACGTTCTACATGTGCAAAGGCACAGAAGGGTCCTCGGGGACAGCTGCCAGACTGCTGCATATCATTGCATTTGGTGGATTTGTAGATCTAAGGGTGGGAAAAAAACCAAACAAAACAAAAAAAACCAAACAGAAATGAACAGAAAATAACAGTGACCACCAGGTACAGAAGTACTATGAAGAAATTTGACAGCAAAGTAGAGACACAGATAAGAGGTGCAAAGGCCAGAGCTCAGGGTGACCATTTCAGTGCTTTGCTTCAAAGAAAGGAAAACCCACTATAGTTCTGGAAACACCAAAATATACCCATGACAGCTAGACCTCACCCAGAGACCAACCCACCACACACCAGCTCACCCAAAGGTCACCATCTGCCATGAAGTCCCTCAGACTCACTGGAAGCTCCATGGACATTACAAATGGCAAAAGGTAGGAAACAGCTGACAGATGACAGCACAGAAAGTTGCAGCCACATGTTTGCAAGGAAAATAACAAACCATTGACAAGGACTGTAGCAAATGGATAATTCCCTCTCCCCCCAGTTTGACAGGCGGTGACAATGGTTACTGTGCAGATACGGGCCCCACAAAGCTTTTCAACACTGTAACATGAAGCAGACTAGGAAAAGGTCTTAATTACACTTTCTGTAAGGATATTGGAATGCTCTGGGCATGCTCACAGCTAAGAGCTTGGTGGTGTTTAGTGCTATCAACATGAACCACAAACTCTTAGTCAAGGAAACAGATGCTGTTTGCTCATGTGCAGACCCACATTGTGCTTTCCAAAGGACCCCCATACCTGACACTGCGCCTACACTTGAGTTTTCCCCCATTTTTCTTACCTCCTCCCATACAGTCTATTCTGTCAAGCAGCTGAATTGCAGCTTACTCCCAACATGCAGCTTCTCTGTATCCCAGGACCACAATACAAGCAGCCCACACCCTCTCCCACCTGGCACAGTGATTTACTTTGTAAGACTGGAATGCTTTTGCTTTTCTAAGGGGACTGAGGAGGTTACTGTACCTCTGGGTGGAACTGCTGCTCTGTTCGAGTGTGGCAGTACTGGCAGGAGTCTCCATTCTCACACTTACTGGGATCTCCCCACTCGTCCCCATGCTTCACACTGGGACACGGTGAAGATCTGTGCAAATAAGGAAGTAGGAGAAGGCATCAGACTCACAGGTGTGCTCTGAACTTTGCTTACTTTGGGTAGGTGGAGGGAGGGAGGTGATTCTCCCCCTCTGATCCACTCCTGGAGGACTGCATCCAGCTCTGGGTACCCCAACATCAGAAGGATGTGGACGTGCTGGAGCAAGTTCAGAGAGAGGCAAAAAGGGGCTCTGAGGGTCCCTCTGCTCTGAAGCCAGGCTGGGAGCACTGGGGGTGCTCAGCCTGGAGAAGAGAAGGCTCCAGGGAGACCTCAGACTAGAGTGCCAGGACAAGGGGGAATGGCTTTATATGGAAAAAGAATAGGTTTAGATTAAATATCAGGGAGTAATTCTTCCCAGTGAGGGTGGTGAGGCCCTGGCACAGGTTGCCCAGAGAAGCTGTGGCTGTCCCTGGATCTCTGGAACTGTTCAAAGCCAGGCTGGATGGGGCTTGGACCAACCTGGGATAGTGGAAGGTGTTCCTGCCCATGGCAGGGGGTGGAACAAGATGAGCTTTAAGGGCTGGGTTCCGTTCCAACCCAAACCATTCTGTGATGTTACAATTCCTCAGTCAGAGGCAGGTTTGGCTGCCCACCCTCAGCTGTATAATCTGCTGCCTCCCCAGCCCCCACCCAGCTGCTATTGCATCTTCTCCCCCTTCTTCCAATTTCCCAACGAAAAACCATGGCTTAATTCTCTATTTGAAACGAAATACAACTTGAACCAGCATAACAATATTAGCAGCTGATGTGATTAGTGTCAGAGACGCTGGGTCTGGTTTCTGTTTTGGAACTGCACCTTCATAGAAAGCTAAGAAGTTAATTGGCTAATCCTAAAACACATAATACCCTTACAGCAGTATGTTTCCAGGTTTATAGTGTGGCCATGTGGAAAAGAGGCTGAGTCAGGTCACTGGGGAAAAGGCAAGTCCGTTTTCTTTCTCCCAGCCAGGAACAGTTCCTTTTCCCAGATCTGAATTTTTGCCATGACCTACTTCCCCTGCTCTTTATGCTCTTAACCATTCCCTCAAACAACAGCAGAGGGAAGCAGATAGCAGCACCAGCACAGCCACATCAGCTGGGGTGGGGAAAAAACAGAAGTGAGTGGAGAGCAGCAGCGAAGCTTTCACCTCTTCCCTTCCCAAAGGGCCCAGAGAAGGGCACAAAGCAAATAGCTGCTGCCTGAAGACTGCCCCAGTGGTTCTATTTCCCCTTAAAGCATTGAGATTAATGCTCCTTCGATTGCTGCTTGTTTAATTTTTTTAAATATGGAATTTCAGTTCAAAAATTTCTGTGAATGTTGGGGGTGGGGAAGAGAAGCGAGAACATCCCTGGTATTTTCTCTCCTGGCTTTCTGGTCTGCTCCTGTGTTTTTCAAAAAGGAACTAAGGAAAAGCCCCACTGAGACCACAACAAAAGCTCTGTTGTGTTGGAGGAAATGAGGGCCTATAATTTGGATGAAATGTGTTCAGGGAGACACAGCACACTGAAAAATCCAGTGACAGCTGAGTGACAGAACACCCTGGTGCCTCAAAAGCAGAGCCTTTAGCAGCTGGTTAAGAATGCATGTCCAGCTACAGTCCCTCCTCATGATCCCCATCACCAGGCATACACAACAAGCAGCCTGATGATTCTGAATCCTTTACCATGAACACATTGTTGGATGAGTTTGTTTCTAGATGGGGATTAAAAGTTTCTTTTGTTTTCTCTTCCCTGCACTGCTTTCTAAAGCAGAGGTTTGTGTGGTAAGGGAAAGCCAGACACAGGTTCTCTTTGCTATAAAATCAAGAGTTGTAACATGATTTAACAATTCATTTATTAGAGTACTGGTTACTATATACAGGAAAACTCCTTGTTTAGTTTGTTATCTTTCTCCAAGGAAGAAATAACAGTCCATCAGATCTCTCAGTACATGGCTTGGAGATATACTAAAAACAATATCTAGTGATCAAAATCCTGCCTCCTGCACCACAGATTTCCAATATACTGCACCATTCAGCTGGGAAGTACAATACCCAGGATCACAGTACCTGTATTTGTGTTTTCTTGGACTTCGTCTCCTGTCTTTGCTATTGTGGTAGTAGGGGCAGGCATAACCCTGGCGGCAGAGCCGGGGGGGCTTCTTACACTGCTCTGTCTTGTAGTTTCCCAACACATATGTTGTATCTGCAAAAAAACCCCCAATGAGTCAGGAGAAATGACCACAATCCATATTTACTACAGGAAAGTTTAGGACAGGCGCAGGCACTCCACAGAGACCAAACTTTCCCAGCCCCTCAGTGACACTCACCTTGCCACCTTGGCTCCTCACTGAGTATCTTCTCTATCATGGCATGGCTGGCAGCGACTGCAGACTGACCCTCAATGCCTCCTTCAGATGTTGTCTGACCATTCTGTAAAGCTTCCATCGCCTGAAGCTCTCTTCAGGGACAGAGGTAAATGAAAAAACAGACTGAGCAGAGGAAGAGTCAGATAAATGTGTGTAAAAACTAACATACTGGAGCATTTGCTAAGTGGGTGCATTTCAGCCATGCATGTTTTGTCAGAACATCTTTAGCTGAACAGCAGCTGCAGTAAAAATAAATCTTCATTCCCTGGGAAATCCAGATGCACTGTTCTGACCCCCTCCATCAGATTCCAAAATGTGATCCTTTCCCCCATTTTGAGAATCCTCCCTGGAGGTTTTTTATATTTGCCTTATTAGGAAGGGATATTTTACCATCACTTCACTTCAAGCTGAAGCAGTACTGTCCTTCAATCATCTCACTTTTCACTTGGGTACAGAAATTACCTTTTCCATCATCTTGTTCATTTGGGCACAGAAATGACCCTTTTCCCAGGAGCCCCAGGCTCTACTGACCTGATGTCATAGACGGGTGAGCGCAGGTCGTGGGGCCCATGAGCAAAGGCGCAGTGCACTCCGTTCTTGGTGCAGTTTCCCTTGGAGTCTGTCTCATGGATGCAGATTCCAGTTTTGTAGTAGCGCAGGTGATACCTTCTCTCTGTGTCTCCAGTAGTTCTATGCAAGAAGGGACACCTGAGGAAGGAAGGAGGGGAGGAACAGACAAGGTTTAGTCACACAGGTGAAGGATTCAACTACCAGAAGACACTTTCCTGAGAGAAGATGCTGCAGTTGACGCCATCTTTGCTAACTCTGCCCCTTCTCTTATGCCTTGCCTTCCAACACTTCAGAGAACTTCCAAACCTATCACTACAAAGGATGCAAGAGTTTCCTTCCCTAAAAGAAAACTGGATTATTAATCCAGCAGCACCTTATTGTTCAGGATGAGTAGCTGCCAGGGATCTGGAAAAAAGCAAGGATGTGGGACAAGGAAAGACAATTACAAAACTACCATTTTAACTTGTTTTGTTCCCCTTTTTAGGCAGAAAAACAATCTACATTGAGAAGTAAAACAGAAATATAGCAAGATGTAATGGGGAAAGTTAAGATATTGCAGCATGAAGGTAAAAATACAAATGAGCAAAGGTTCCTAGCTGACAATGGCTTTCACTCACTGAGTCTGAGCCATGTATCATCTAGTGATCTAGAAGCCAAAGCCCACAAACATCCCATTTCCAGTTCCTTCCAGATCTCTTCTAGCAAGGAAGAAAGTGTTGAAACTGAAGCCTCAGGCCTGAGGGGACTATTCCATTCTGTTGTAGTCACAAAAACTTTACTTAATTGAGTTGAAAAATAAAAAAAAAAAAGTTTTGCCAATAAATAGCATTTTTGTATGTTTATATTGGCACCACAAAAGGGAACTGAAATTCCATCTTTTTACAGCATCTCTCTATAAAACACTCTCCATATTTGACTACAGTTTGGCTACACTATTTATCCCACATCTGTCACATGGCTAAGGTTATATTACCAGGTTAACCCCTTAATTGCTGGGGTCTGCCACACACACAGCAGAAAGATTAGTGGTTTTGCTCCAGTTAAACCTACTGTAGTCATGGGGAGAGAACACCCAAAAAGCCCAAACTCTTCCTCATGCTGCCTTTTTCTGGGTATCTCCTGGTTCTGTACTGGCTTCTTAAATGTTCAGAAAGACAAAATAAACTGCTAGTTTAAAAGTTAAAAAGCTAGACAGATAACTCAGGGGGCAGACTGGAGGACAAAGTTTTTCACAGATTGAAGAAAGAGGAGGAACTAATTTACCCTGCAAGTGAGCAGGAGCTGGGAGTCAGAGACTTAGAGAACAGAGTGTTTCCAAACTCATTTGTCTCATTGAACTGTTTTTCCCACCTTAGCTTTGCTGAAGATGCTGAAGCCCGTGAGCACAGTGAGTTCCCAAGAGCTGAATTCCCATCTAAGTCACCCTCAGTACTGTCTCTGCAGCAGGCCTGGAGCACACGAGCTGCTATTCCAGATTTTACATCTGGTCTCATGTTACGTATGTGACAAAGCTGCTTTACTGCTGACTTGCCTCATCTCTGCAAGAACCGGCTGGAATCATCACCTGGCCTGATCCCAAAAGCCTAATGCCTGAAAAGCAGGGTGCAGCCTTTACTCACTCATCTCCTTCGGGGCAGATCCCCGTGGTCTCGTCATACTTGGTGCAGTAGATGTCGGGGCTGTAGTTGAAGGTGCCGTCGCGGCGGCGGATGGACCTGCGCCGGCGCTGGTTGACAAAGTGCCAGTGGAAGCAGGTGTAGGGCCGGTGCTGGGTGCACTTGTGCTGCACGAAGAGCGGGCACTGCTCCGTGCGGAACTCCTTCAGGTACCTGCGGGAAGCGGGATGTCAGCTCCAGGGTGAGATCCAGCCACCCACAGGGAGATGTCTGCTGTCCTGCCCACACCCTCCCGCTCCCCTCCCAGGATGGAGGCTGGAGCTGCCCGTGTTTGTCATGGCAAGATATCCATTACACACAGGGATGTAACGAGAGCTGAAATCGCTTTCTGTCGGGTCGTTTTGAAGAGGCTTTTCATCAGCTTAGGAAACATTTGTGAGAAAATAGAACTCTTAAGTACCTTTCTATCCCTTTTAAATCTGTGACCTATCTGGGCAAAAAGGGGTTTCCTTCCTACATGCTCAGTTTAAAAAAAAAAACACAGAAAAAAACCCCAGATAAAATACACTTCTTTGAGCCACATTTAAAGCTTCAAGTCACTGAGAAATAAAGATTTTTAAAATTTTTAAAAGATTTTTAAAAGACTCTTTCATGCCTTATCCTCCTGCTTTAGCCCTGCTTTGCCAGTACACAGTCAATTACAAAATAAAAATTAACCAATTTCTCTCTTGCAGTCATATTAATTCAGATCTCAGTCTTGCAAAGTGGGATAACTATCCTCAAACTCCCACATGTTTATGTTGCTTTAATTTTAATATGTAATTCCCTGAAAGTACATGGCTTCTTTTATCCCGAGAACTAAAGAAGTCACAAGCTTTTATTTGTGACACTAATAACAGTCTCTAAACCCAGATTGTAGAGGATTACAAAATGGTTTAGATCAACATAATGATCTGACTGTGATCTGTGTGTAGGTGCTTACAAAATCCACGCTGCTGAAACCCACGGGCTGCCCTGTATTTACAGGGAACATCCAAACAGCTCCAGCAGCTCAGACCCGAATCCCACCGAGTTCAGTCTCAGAGGCACATCCAGGAACAAGGCAGAAAACCTGGAGCATTCTGGTCTCTTATGTTATGAGGTCAATGTAAACAGCAAGGACCAAGTTTTGTAGGTCAAAAAAAAAAAAATACAACTATTCTGCTGGAAGCAACAGGGTGATATAACAGCAGATTCGGACTGATTTTAAACTGCGTATGTACTCCAAGGCAACAAAAAGGAGTGTAGGAATTCATTCCCATGTCAGACAGTCTTTATCTCCTGTTTCTAAATAAATGGAAAGATGTCTGATGCCCAAAGATGCATTTACAGATAATATCACAGCACTAGGCTCATTCTGAAAGCAACATCTGTAAATAAAGCCCCCTTTCCTCTTTACCCCAGCTGAGGAGAAAGCCTCAGGAAAATGCACAGATTCAACCAAAGTGGTTTTATTTGTTTGCTATGAAGAGACAGTATCAGTGGCAAGAGCTTCCCTACATTGGATTTTGCAAGCATGAAAGGATAAAAGCTCTTCCTCTTCTTCAGCCTCTAAATACGTGAGATTTGCAGGTTCCACTGCCTGGGATCTGTGAATGCCCGGGGCTGGAAGCCTCCACGGCCGGCTGTAAGCCCTTCTCTACCCAAGCCCATCTGTCCCCAGCAATCCAGAGTGGCTGGAACAGTATCTGCACTGGGGCCCAAGGCTTAACAGCAGAAAACCAGAGCCAGCTGCAGAACCAGGTCTGCTTGGCACAGGTGAGGGCCAACAACACCACTCTGTTCCTTTTCCCATCTGAAAATCCAGCTCTGTTCAAACAGAGATCGCTACTTGAGCCACATCAGCAATTAATCTGCAAACTGAAAGCTGTGGTAAATTCATCCATTCTCAAAAAGCTTTCTAAATTGTTGGAACAAGTACTTGTAGAAGGTGGAATTCCACAGATTATCTTATCAGAGCACTAGGAAGACTTGGAACAAAAGTGACTGTAACAACATTTTGGTTAGAAAGTGAATTAAGTAACCTTCATCAGGACGATGCTGTTCACAGATGATACAGTCACCACTCAGTCGTTTCCACTCGCTCACCTCCACGTACACCTTAGAGACACGAGATTTGTGTGACTCCCATTTTACACATGGACAAACAACACAGCTGGCTAGAAGCCCCAGGCAGTATCACACAGCAACCAGAATCCCAGACACAAACCAAGAGCATTTTAACTCCTCCATCCTCACCCCGTTCAAGAACAGCATCCTGAACCTCCTCACTGCTCTGGAAACTAAAGGGAGATACCAGGCTTACACAACCTGGGTATGGAGCCCAGCACTCCACACTTGTGATAGGCCCAAATGAAACAATTAAAAATCTGAGAGTTTAACAGCCCCACAATCAGCTGAGCTGAAGCTGCTTCCCTTCAGCAGGGAAGTTTAAAAACGTACACACTAACTAGGGATTTCAGTCTCTAGTGTCTCAATTGTTGCTGAAGAGTATTTGAAAATTAATTGCATTTCATGATTGGCTAAACTCCCTGGAGAAACATTTATTGTAATGTTAATGAGAGATAATTACATAAGTAAATGGTTCACCTGAAAAGTGTTTAACACCTAACTTGCTTCATCAGAAAGTCGTTCTTTAATGGTCTCTATTAAATAAATGATGTCTCACTCTTAATTTCAAAGCAAGCCCTGCAAACAGATACCACTGGGCATTAACTGTGCACAGTCACCTCTGCAACAGACCCAAGTGAGGGAAGGAGAGTTGTCACATTAACTCAGTCATTTCAAGCCTTTCAATCACTGCTTTGGGTTTTTCTTTTTTCCAAGCCACTACAACGTTTTAAATCACCCTCCTCCACAATAGCCTGAATGGTAAATTGCCTTACAGCCCTTTATTTTCTTGATCCACGAAGTGAGTTTTGGCTCCTCTGGGAGAACACAGACCACTCAACCAGCCACTTAGTATTAAAATATATAAAAGGCCTCTAAACCACGTGTGTTTTGGGAACACAGAGAGGATACAGAGCCTGCACCACCACAATGTGATGTCTCACAAATCAGAAAGCCATTAATATTTCAGGAGCCTCTTTGCAAAGGCTCTAAACAAAACACAGAGAATAATGTCATGACAGATCCTTCTGGTGTCAATGGTCTCCGTATTTTTTTTTTTACAGAAGAGCTGAAAAAGGGAATTTCAGAAGAACCCTCAAAGCTGAAAACATGTTGATAACTGGTACACATTTCATAGCATGTCAGCCAAACTGTGTCTGTACAGGAACAGGAAATCCAGCAACGATAACTTGCATTTCTCAACTCCTCTTAGGAAACCCTACAGCCCAGCTGTCACTTGAGGGGCAGAAGAATTATTACCCCTATTTCATACTGGAGCTACTTCTATATTTCTTTATACTTCTATACTTATACTTTCTTTATACTTCTATATTTCTTTTTCTAAAAAAAAGTAAGTAGACGTTGTATTTTCATACTCATGTAATTTTTAAAAAGTGGAAAGCACATAGCACTGTCTTCTGATACAACATTAACATCAACAGCAACACCCAGATTCCTGGAGGAAATGTTACCATTTATGAGCCCTAGTAAACAAAGATGAATGCAATTCTAAACAAATAGGACAAGACTGGCCAGAACAATGCAGATCAAAGTCCCCAGGCTGAGCTGAACTTGCTGTCAAACAGGATGGACGCTGCTGGAAATGAAAGTTTTTTTCCCTAGGAGGACAAGAAGAGGTTCTTGGAGTAGTTTTAGGAACTCCCAGAGACCAACAGGTGCAGCAAAGCGTTCGAAAACCTCAATGCTACTCTGGTGAAATTCCACTTCCTCTGGGATGAGGGAAGGGGCAGTGATTATTCTGCAATTATTTACACTAGAGGGGAGGTGCTCACTGTCTTTAATTGCCAGTAGCAGCTTGAGTCTCCAGGGCAGGGCAGCAAGTGTTTACCTCTGCAGCTTGGAATTGCAGGAGTTCCCCCTCTGCCCTGGAGGAATGGAGCAGGAACCTGCTCTGGGAGCTGCAGGGAAAAAGATGGGTGCAGTGGGGGAAGAAGAAAAAAAATCAAACCTAGAAAAAGGGAAAAAAAAAAACAAAAACAAAACAAAGAGAGAACCCAACAAGAATTTTTAACCTAGAACTTTCATTTTCATCCTCCACAATTGCAGCCGTGTCCTGGTCCCCTCCTTGCCACCTGGTGCAGAGATCTCCTGCTTTTCTGCAGCTTTTCTGGTTGACACTGGTGTGCTCAAGCAGAGAGCATTCCTGCACCCATCCTGCTTCCAAGGCTGCAGTTTCCTGTCAAACTTGACCCAAGTCACACATCCAGTGGAGTGAGCTCAATTCAGGAAAATGTGCTGGTAATGCACAGCTGAGCTCCAAATTCCTCATAAAAGCCTTAACCCAAAGCTCCCAGAAATCACTGGAAGATGCACACTGATGCCAAGACAGCCTCTGCTTTCTAACAGAGGGATCAGAAAGCCCAGGGAGAGAAACAATACCAAGGAGCAAGGAAATGAAAAGATTAAAACCAACTCCTCAAAACTCTTGTGGCTTCTGTGATGCAAAGCCAGGCTCTGCTTTTCTTCCAACACCCCTCACACTGTTTGAGATCTTTATGGAGGTCCCAAGACGAGCTGCTCTCCTTTGCAGCCCTTCTTGCTCTTCCAGGTCACCCCCCTTTCTGCCAAAATTCCTCCCAAAGAGAGGCTCACAAACAGCACCTGAACCTTCTGCAGCAGAATGACAGCAGAGAGAAAACCATGAGGTAATATAGCATTATAGTCTGGCTAATGCAGCCTAGGACACAGTCTGCAATGCAGGCAGCAGTGAGATCTAACACCACCACCACCTCCATTCCACACACGGGTGGGGGTGTGTTTACACCCCTGAAACTGCTCTGGCACTGGGGAAAGGCTCTGCTGAGAGGCTGTGGCGGCACTGCTGGTCTGTGTCACACCAGTGGAAACCTGGAGCAGCTTTTACAGCAGGTCCTCACTCAGGGCACAGCCACTGGTGCTGGCTGAGCTCCCAGAGCTGCTCCTGGGGCACAGCAAACCCAGAGAGGGCAGCCCAGAACTGGGCTGCTCCCAAAGTCCAGCCTGCTGTGGGCTCTTCACTTTGTTATTAGCATTAATATTAGAAATTATTAGTTCAGGGCTGTATA